AGAGACAAACCCAGTTAGTTAACTACCTTAAACCCAGGATTAAACAGTACTAGACACAATACCTTCAAGAATAACAGAGAGAGCGACAACACAACCAGTTCACCACCACAACACTGTCACACAACCACACACAATATATTTTCCTCAGGAACAAAAACAGTTAGCCATCACAGGAAGTTAAATAGAAGATTATACTGGACACAATACCTTCAAGAATAACAGGGAGTACAAACAGGGAGTACAAACAGGGAGTACAAACAGGGAGTACAAACAGGGAGTACAAACAGGGAGTTACGAGGCTGTACTGTAGGATCAGCTGGCTCGTGGAGCGGTGGCCAAACTGTATGTTTGCCTTGCTCCCCGTGAGCCATTCCTAATACCCACACAGTGTGAGCCACAACCCATAGATAGAACCATCCCTAATACCCACACAGTGTAGATGGAACCATTCACAGCCTATAGGATAAACACTGCGCACATACGCTGTACCAGCAAAGTTGTTTTGGGTCTCTACTACTTATTCCCCAATGATGCTTGTGTTTGGACTTGTTTTGCAACAGGATCTCCAGCACTCCTATTGTATATAACCAGACTATATCAACCCATACAATTCCATTGAGAGATATTGTATTCAAATGATTATTTCGCATAGGAACTCCTCGGTGTAGCTCTCTTCTTCATCCGATTGGATGTCAGTCCAGTGCTGGCACTCATCCGATTTGGTTTTCAGTCCAGTGGCACTCATCCGATTGGTTGTCTGTCCAGCGCTGGCACTTAAGGTCCTGCTGTTGGTCAAAATGGGAAAAGGCTGCAAGAGCAAAACCCCTCTTACTCTGTCATGGACAGCCCCAGGTCACTCACAAATCTGGCTGCCCAAATCAACTTATTCTGAGGTGACTGTGTCAATGGGACAGGCATGGGGGGCATGGACTGACTTAGAGTCTCCGCAAATGGGGGACAGGACAGGCAAGGGGACAAAGAGCTTCCGCTTTCAAGGAGCGGGACACTAATCCGGACACTTAGAAGAAATCCCGCTATGCCCTCAGACGAACCATCAAACAGGCAAAGCGTCAATACAGGACTAAGATTGAATCCTACTACACCGGCTCTGACGCTCGTCGGATGTGGCAGGGCTTGCAAACTATTACGGACTACAAAGGGTAACCCAGTCGCGAGCTGCCCAGTGACGCGAGCCTACCAGACGAGCGAAATGCCTTTTATGCTCGCTTCGAGGCAAGTAATACTGAAGCATGTATGAGAGCACCAGCTGTTCCGGACGACTGTGTGATCACACTCTCCGTAGCCGATGTGAGCAAGACCTTTAAACAGGTCAACATTCACAAGGCCGCGGGGCCAGACGGATTACCAGGACGTGAACTCAGAGCATGCGCGGACCAACTGCCAAGTGTCTTCACTGAAATTTTCAACCTCTCCCTGACCGAGTCTGGAATACCTATATGTTTCAAGCAGACCACCATAGTCCCTGTGCCCAAGAAAGCTAAGGTAACCAGCCTAAATGACTACCACCCCGTAGCACTCACGTCGGTAGCCATGAAGTGCTTTGAAAGGCTGGTCATGGCTCACATCTACACCATCCTCCCGGAAACCATAGACCCACTCCAATTCATATACCGCCCCAACAGATTCACAGATGACACAATCTCAATCGCACTCCACACTGCCCTTTCCCACCTAGACAAAAGGAACACTTATGTGAGAATGCTGTTCATTGACTACAGCTCAGCGTTCAACACCATAGTTCCCACAAAGATCATCACTAAGCTAAGGACCCTGGAACTAAACACCTCCCTCTGTAACTGGATCCTGGACTTCCTGACGGGCCGCCCCCAGGTGATAAGGGTAGGCAACAACACATCTGCCACGCTGATCCTCAACACGGGGGCCCCTCAGGGGTGCGTGCTTAGTCCCCTCCTGTACTCCCTGTTCACCCACGACTGCGTGGCCAGGCACGACTCCAACACCATCATTAAGTTTGCTGACGACACAACAGTGGTAGGCCTGATCACCGACAACGATGAGACAGCCTATAGGGAGGAGGTCAGAGACCTGGCAGTGTGGTGCCAGGACAACAACCTCTCCCTCAACGTGAGCAAGACAAAGGAGCTGATTGTGGACTACAGGAAAAGGAGGGCAGAACATGCCCCCATTCACATCGACGGGGCTTTAGTGGAGCGGGTCGGGAGTTTCAAGTTCCTTCGTGTCCACATCACCAACAAACTATCATGGTCCAAACACACCAAGACAGTCATGAAGAGGGCACGACAACACCTTTTCCCCCTCAGGAGACTGAAAAGATTTGGCATGGGTCCCAAGATCCTAAAAAAGTTATACAGCTGCACCATCGAGAGCATCCTGACCGGTTGCATCACCGCCTGGTATGGCAACTGCTCGGCATCCGACCGTAAGGCGCTACAGAGGGTAGTGTGTACGGCCCAGTACATCACTGGGGCCAAGCTTCTTGCCATCCAGGACATATATATAGGCTGTGTCAGAGGAAGGGCCAAAAAATTGTCAAAGACTCCAGTCACCCCCCTTTGTTTTTACACTGCTGCTACTCACTGTTTATTATCTATGCATAGTCACTTTACCCCTACCTACATGTACAAATTATCTTGACTAACCTGTACCCCCACACATTGACTCGGTACCGGTACCCCCTGTATATAGCCTCGTTATTGTCATTTTATTTTTTACTTTAGTTTATTTAGTAAATATTTTCTTAACTGTATTTCTTGAACTGCATTGCTGGTTAAGGGCTTGTAAGTAAGCATTTCACGGTAAGGTTGTATTCGGCGCATGTGACAAATAACATTTGATTTGATTTGATTTTGACTGACAAAATCTGCAGAGCTGGGATGGTTGTATCCCCCATATATATAACATTCTATTGGTTGCAAGAATTGTATATAAACTGAAGAGAAACAGACGCCTCACAGGTCCTCAACTGGCAGCTTCATTAAATAGTACCCGCAAAACGCCAGTCTCAACGTCAACAGTGAAGAGGCGACTCCGCGATGTTGACCTTCTAGGCAGAGTTGCAAAGAAAAAGCCATATCTCAGACTGGCCAATAACATTTAAAGATTAAGATGGCCAGTCTGAGATATGGCTTTTTCTTTGCAACTCTGCCTAGAAGGTCAGCATCCCAGAGTCGCCTCTTCATTGTTGACGTTGAGACTGGCGTTTTGCGGGTACTATTTAATAAAGCTGCCAGTTGAGGACCTGTGAGGCGTCTGTTTCTCTTCAGTTTATATACAATTCTTGCAACCAATAGAATGTTATATATATGGGGGATACAACCATCCCAGCTCTGCAGATTTTGTTGCGAAGAGACAGAATCATTAGATCACTTGTTTTGGCACTGTCCATTTGTAGCTTGTTTTTGGTCACAGGTTCAGGAATGGCCGGAAAATTACAACATTTACCTGGAGCTAACTCTGCAAATAGCACTGCTGGGTGATTAGAAAAGTCATAGTCAATCGATCAATAATATAATAATACTCTTAGCACAACATTTTATCTTTAATTTACAATCTGTAGAAACTATGAGAATAGAAAGGTTCAGAACTTTTGTGAAACATCACAGCACAGTTGAAATATATATGGCTAATAGAAATCAAAACTGGATGGTGTTCAGAGATAGATGGGAGGAGTTGAGGGGAGCTGAAGGGTGGGACTAAAAATAACAACAACAAAAAACTAGATAACTAAGGTAAAATATACTGTGTCCATAAAATGTATATAGTATGTATAAGCTGGAAGTAGAAGCCTAAGTATTGTTGTCCATTAGTATACTCCAATTAGGGGAGGGATGATAGGGTTAGGAGGAAAATAATACAAATATATTAAAAATATACAGTATATTTACCCCAAAATATATGGGGGATTGGAAATGATGCAGACAATTACATTGATAGAAGCCACAATCTACAAACAATATTAAAACTTTTTTTTAAATGACTTCACTTTTGATGAGTGCCCCTCAAATGAGACAAATGCATAGAGATAGATAGAGGATCTTTATATCTGTGCCATTATAGCATCTGTGACAGCATTGTTAGCACTATTGAGGCTACAACCCATAGGAATCCCCACACAGTTGACTACTTTCACTACTTTAAAATGGTGGAAGCCCTCTGGCACTGCCCATGCTAAAATTACCTTTTGGCCACTAGAGGCCTCTATAATTCTCTATATACAAATGTAACAACAGCCTGAGTGTGCTGGACCTGAAACACTGATACAGATGTAACCACGTGCCATTTAATGTTTTATCTGACCAGCACTAGTGATTGCGAGTCAAAATTCCATGTGCATTGTACAGATCACGTTTCCTCGAGGTACACAAATGTGCCACAGCACACTGATTGGGAACCACTGCAGTATACAGTAGCAGTATGTTTGGTATGAATGCAATTCATTGACTGCGCACCTGTTTTTTTTTGGTTTTTATCGTCTTACATTGTGATAAATATGCCAAAGTAAAGCAAGCAACCAATGTCAAAACACATTCAAACTACTTTTTGACTACAAACATTTTTACAATAATACTTTTTGACTTAGACTAATTTGGGGAATTTTAGACTGTCCAGAAAATATTTTCTATGCTACAAATCCATAGGACCGACCAGGAAGACCCAACCCCTGCTCTGCTCTGCTCTAGTCTAGTCTAGACAACATTAACTACTACCTAGAGCTGAACTCTCACTGTCCGTGGTGTCGTTTGCCAACATACCTCCAGCTCATGTTTTAAGTAGCGCAGGGAAGCTTTCTGATTGGTCAACGAGAAGGCCCTAGAACGCTTGTATTTTTAAAGTAACATTCCTCTCTACTGGTGAAAATTATGTCTATAATCCCCCGAAATACTCGTAGTCTTTAACATATATCATACTAAATACATATTTGTATCAATACTTTAACATTTGGTGTGCAATTAACGGATTATAAATGGAATATCATCATTACCGTTCCGCCCTATAGTCACTCCACGTGTCATCGGAGGGATACCCAGTGTTCGGCTGTGAAAGTAGTCCCGGTCAGTTGGGGTATTATCTTCGGCCGGTGCGCGGCTGATGGGCGCATTGGTCCCTGCAACGTTCACCCAGAAGGTGAGTCACTGCGGCCTCAACTTTACACTTACCATTGGATGGACAATTCTTGCTAAATATTATTGACATAGCTGTCTTGAGTGAATTACATTGTTCTATCAGTTTTGGTTATAGAAAGGTTGTAATAGACTTTTAACTATTGAATGTTACTTTACTTCCATAACGTTTTGAATCAAGTTGTTATGGTATGGTATGGTGTGATATGGGGTATTTATATTTCAGTCTGAATAGGCAATTTGTGCACATTTAGAAGTAATGACAACTACCTAGATCTGTGTTCCAAATTTTTACAGTGAAATAATTGGGTTTGTTTCATGCAAATGCATGATCTCCGTTAATAAAGTATAATTTAAATTGTGGGCTACCCTACATGACTGAAACTGAGCAATACTTGGCAAAACAATTTGTTTATTGACATAATATAATTGTAAGTCGCGCTGGATAAGAATGTCTGCTAAGTGACAAAAATGTAAAAAAGCCAAATGAAATAATCAATTTCTATTTGATATGCACTGAGACATCCTGTCATCCTCAATGTTCCTCTACTATAGGAAACATATTCATCCTTACTTACTGTAGGTCAAGAGCCTGGAACAACTTGCTCTCTACTATTTTAATGACATTGCCTTCAGCAGATTATCTTTGATATGGTGTGCTAATAAACCACTGTACTGTTCAGCGTCAGTAGAGCTGTAGGTGAAATAGCCCTACCACTTGGTGGACATTGCTAAACCAGCATTATGTCGTTTGAATAAGATCCTGGAATCATAGCTCTATAATTCAATATCCTCATAGAGTAAAATCTAAAAAAAAATCTTATAGAATGGAACCCACTTGGATGTTTTTTTCTCTCCAAACTTGTGAATTAATCGATATCTCACTTAAAGTCTGCTCATGTCATTGACTGTGACACTCGGATAATGTAGCTCCTCCTATAGGCAACAGTCTGCTAAGGGTTTATCTGTGTGGAAAAAGGGAGAGACACACACTTCTAAAAATATCTTCCAGTAGCACCGTAGCAGGGCTTTTTGGAACAGTTGATAGCTGGGCTGGTGTATGTTGTCATGGCACATGTCTGGTTCTCTATGATAGCTGGTGTACGGTGTCATGGTACATGTCTGGTTCTCTATGATAGCTGGTGTATGGTGTCATGGTACCTGTCTGGTTCTCTATGATATTTAGGCCAACAATATGTACAGTACAATGGGGTATAATGTTGCTTTGACTAGTTAATTACTAATTTTTTTAGGTTGAAAAGAATCCCCCCAACGGTGAATTAATATGTGATATTTGCAGAATCCTTTTTGACTACTCAAGTCTCCCACCAACTGTGAAAACCACCTCCCACAAAAAGTGGCCACTGGCCAGATCCTCTTCAAGAGCCTAATGCCCCTGGTCATAACTTGTGACTGGAATGTGGGGGTGTTTGTGGCTGTGCCTGTCAGCCTGTGTGTGTGTGTGTGTGTGTGTGTGTGCAGGCACGCAGTCACACATGCTCTCATTGTTGCGGTCCCAGTTTGGTGGTGCTGCTACAGAGTGTGTGGCCAGCTGGCCAGCCGTGTCCCTGTCCCCTTCGGACTGTCAGGCTGGACTTCCAGAGACGCTGTTAGTCTGATCCGTGTTTGAATTGAGCTGCTGTACCTCTAACCTTCTACCTGCCACCTCAGTCTGTTAAACCTCCATTACAATATTCACAATAAATAAATCAGTAATATCAGTTGATGCGGAGTTGATGGAAATGTATGATAATTGAATATGTGGCCAGCCCCCCTCTCGGAAATGTTCCAGGTTTTCATTCTCTTTCACTGGTGTGAGATAAAGTAAACTGTACACTTCAGCTAGTCAATTTTCCATTGCTACGTTATGTCCCTAGCATTAATATATTATGTAATGTCTGTTGGTAGGTAGCATAGAATTGCAAAGATCTAGTTTCAAAGCCTGATTCAGTGGGATAGACTCAGAGCAGTTTAGCAAGCCAAGTGTCACACACACACACATACGCACACATAAATACAGGCATGAAAAATGATATGAAGACCTATCCAACCTCTAACTTTCAGGAGTATGTAGAGAGGCTTGTTCAATCTGTCAGAGGTGGATGCAGAACATTAACCCAATGTCAAAGGATCTTCTCATCTCTCCTCTCACTCTCCCCTCCTTCTCAGACACAGATCCAATCATGTCTAAAGGAAAGGATATGGGTTCTGCCTTCATCCAGACGCAGCAGCTGCACGCTGCCATGGCTGACACCTTCCTGGAGCACATGTGTCTTCTGGACATCGACTCTGAGCCTGCTGTGGCTCGCAACACCGGAATCATCTGCACCATCGGTACAGCTCAACAACACCATTACTCAACAACACCCCTCCTCATTACTCAACAACACCATTACTCAACAACACCCCTCCTCATTACTCAAACAACACCATTACTCAACAACACCCCTCCTCATTACTCAACAACACCCCTCCTCATTACTCAACAACACCATTACTCAACAACACCCCTCCTCATTACTCAACTGCCCTCACCCCTCACTCCCTTCACTGTCTCAACCCTCCCTCACCTCACAGCCCAACCCTACCCTCACCCCTCAACTCCCTTCACTGTTCACCCTCCACTCACCTCACAGCCCAACCCTAACATCACAAGCCCAACCCTACATCACAGCCCCCAACCCCTCCCTCACCTCACAGCCCAACCCTACCTCACCCCTCACTCCCTTCACTGTTCACCCTCCCTCACCTCACAGCCCAACCCTACCTCACCCCTCACTCCCTTCACTGTTCACCCTCCCTCACCTCACAGCCCAACCCTACCTCACCCCTCACTCCCTTCACTGTTCACCCTCCCTCACCTCACAGCCCAACCCTACCTCACCCCCTCCCTCACGCACCCTCCCTCACAGCCCAACCCTACCTCACAGCCCAACCCTCCCTCACAGCCCAACCCTCCCTCACCCCTCATAGCCTCTCACTCCTTCACCAACTGAACACCCTCACTACACTACTCAACACCATATATATTTATATATATATATATATATACAGGTATTTTGTGTGAGGTGTGCATACAGTAGGCCTATATCCCTCCAAAACGTTCACAGTAGGCCTATATCCCTCTATAAGCTTTGCTTGTCATCTTGTCCACATGCAGGACCCGCCTCCCGATCAGTGAATATGGCCAAGGAGATGATCAAATCTGGGATGAACATTGCAAGAATGAACTTCTCTCACGGAACTCATGAGGTCAGTAGTTCACGTTAGACTACACCAGTAATGACCGCCAAGGCAAAGGACCCCAGTAATGAAGCCAAGGCAAAGGACCCCTAGCCCTTACTCCCTCATGTTGATCTGAAAGGATAGGTGAAAGCAATATGGTGACATTTCCACCCCCCCCCCCATGTGGCAACATTCACCCAGCCGAACATAAAGCCCAGTTTGGATGTAGGTCTAGTATAACCTTCAGTGAGTCTGCAGCCCACCCACCCTCATTGTGACATTATCACTGTACCATTTAAATGTCAGTCTGTAAGCTGATCTGAACACTCTTTCTTGCACTTTAGTGACCTCTCCTCCTCCTCCTCCTCCTCCTCCTCCTCCTCCTCCAGTCAGCCAGCCTCTCTTGTCTTTAGCTGACATGTAGTGCTGCCAGATTGATGGTAGCCAGGGTTTTGGGGTTTACAGTACTGACCTCTCCCCTTTAAAAGTCATGACTTTTGACCTGTTTCACCCTGGCTGGGCGGAGCGCACCCCACAAAGCGTACAGCAGTATTAGGTATCGAGCGATACGTTTGATATTTGAATCATTGCCCTTCAAAGGTCAATAGCACTGTTAATTGCTTGTCCCAAGAAGACGTTATATTCTGAAGTTCAGTACTGTAGCTATCTTTAAGCACTAGATTACGTTACATGTACATGTGTATCAAAGTTATGTTAGGTCAAGGGTTTCCCAGTCCATTCCGCGATTACTTCCATGACACGCAATTCCATCTAACAAGTACTCAGCGGCTTGATGATTAACTGACTTGTTGAAATCGGGCGTGCTAGTTCTAGGGCTAGAGGTAAAACGTGAAGGGTTAGCAAGGGTTAGCATCTGACGCCGTAGGAGCGAAGGGTTAGCATCTGACGCCGTAGGAGCGAAGGGTTAGCATCTGACGCCGTAGGAGCGAAGGGTTAGCATCTGACGCCGTAGGAGCGAAGGGTTAGCATCTGACGCCGTAGGAGCGAAGGGTTAGCATCTGACGCCGTAGGAGCGAAGGGTTAGCATCTGACGCCGTAGGAGCGAAGGGTTAGCATCTGACGCCGTAGGAGCGAAGGGTTAGCATCTGACGCCGTAGGAGCGAAGGGTTAGCAAGGGTTAGCATCTGACGCCGTAAGAGCGAAGGGTTAGCATCTGACTCCGTAGGAGCCTACAGCCATGGCACAGGGCAAGTGACTGTTTGGGAATGCCAGTGTTGCATGATGATAAAAAAAGATAGACAGAGCACCCCCAATGGCAGGAACTTCTGACAGACATCTTCAGACATCTGAACTTACGTTTGTTTACATGGCATCTTGTCGTGTGTTGGGGTCAGAGACATATATCGGAAGGGCAAAGGAAACTTGACCTCTGCCACTGGCCAGGTGGTCGGAACAGATGTAAATAGCCGTGTCTCAGGTTCTCGCAGAACGTGTTTAGAGGGATCAGGAGCTAACGCTAAGCTACTTGGCTATACTAAAAGAGCTAATACTTTGCTATGCTAAAATATCCCAAAGATAAAACATTAAACAAATTAAATTGCAGCTGGCTAATTGTCTTATGTCTGTCTACCATAGAGCACTGTTAAGTGAGTGTCATTGAGTCTCTGGGTCTGTCTCTCTCCTATAGGCAGAAACTGTTTAGGGACCAGGAGCTAGCTAACACTACTTAGTTATATTCTATGTGGCTATGCTACATGGGTATATGCTACATGGGTATATGCTACATGGGTATATGCTACATGGGCATATGCTACATGGTTACATGCTACATGGCTATTCTACTTGGCTAACACTACTTGGTTATATGCTACTTGGTTATATGCTACATGGTTATATGCTACATGGTTACATGCTACATGGCTATTCTACTTGGCTAACACTACTTGGTTATATGCTACATGGTTACATGCTACATGGCTATTCTACTTGGCTAACACTACTTGGTTATATGCTACATGGTTATATGCTACATGGTTATATGCTACATGGTTACATGCTACATGGCTTTTCTACTTGGCTAACACTACTTGGTTATATGCTACATGGTTATATGCTACATGACTATTCTACTTGGCTAACACTACATGGTTATATGCTACATGGTTATATGCTACATGGTTATATGCTACATGGCTATTCTACATGGTTTTATTCTACGTGGCTATGCTACTTGGCCATTCTACTTTGTTAAATCTACTTGGCAATGCTATTTGGATATATGCTACGTTGCTATGCCATGTGGCTATGCTTAGACCAAAACGTAACATACACTCATTAAATTGCACTTTGCCTATCTCCTACTTAGTACTGTTGAGTGAGTGTCATTGGGCTTTCAACACTGATATACCAGGAGGAAGTGAGCATTTAATGGATGTATATCCTATTTATAGCTAATTTAGCAATGGATACTAGCGCAATGAGTGGGTGTTTGCCTTGTCGAGCATGCAGTTCATATAAACTCAGCAAAAAAAGAAACAGCCCTTTTTCAGGAATCTGTCTTTCAAAGATAATTCGTAAAAATCCAAATAACTTCACAGATCTTAATTGTAAAGGGTTTAAACACTGTTTCCCATGCTTGTTCAATGAAACATAAACAATTAATGAACATGCACCTGTGGAACGGTCATTAAGACACTAACAGCTTACAGACGGTAGGCAATTAAGGTCACAGTTATGAAAACTTAGGATACTAAAGAGGCCTTTCTACTGACTCTGAAAAACACCAAAAGAAAGATGCCCAGGGTCCCTGCTCATCTGCGTGAACGTGCCTTAGGCATGCTGCAAGGAGGCATGAGGACTGCAGATGTGGCCAGGGCAATAAATTGCAATGCCCATACTGTGAGACGCCTAAGACAGCGCTACAGGGAGACAGGACGGACAGCTGATCGTCCTCGCAGTGGCAGACCACGTGTAACAACACCTGCACAGGATCGGTACATCCGAACATCACACCTGCGGGTCAGGTACAGGATGGCACTGTACCGCAATAGGCTGAGAGAGGCCAGACATCACCGGCAACAACGTCGTCTATGGGCACAAACCCACCATCGCTGGACCAGATAGGACTGGCAAAAAGTGCTCTTCACTGACGAATCGCAGTTTTGTCTCACCAGGGGTGATGGTCGGATTTGCATTTATATTCAAAGGAATGAGCGTTACACCGAGGCCTGTACTCTGGAGCGGGATCGATTTGGAGGTGGAGGGTCCGTCATGGTCTGGGGCAGTATGTCACAGCATCATCGGACTGAGCTTGTTGTCATTGCAGGCAATCTCAACGCTGTGCGTTACAGGGAAGACATCCTCCTCCCTCATGTGGTACCCTTCCTGCAGGCTCATCCTGACATGACCCTCCAGCATGACAATTCCACCAGCCATACTGCTCGTTCTGTGCGTGATTTCCTGTAAGACAGGAATGTCAGTGTTCTGCCATGGCCAGCGAAGAACCCGGATCTCAATCCCATTGAGCACGTCTGGGACCTGTTGGCTCAGAGGGTGAGGGCTAGGGCCATTCCCCCAAGAAATGTCTGGGAACTTGCAGGTGCCTTGGTGGAAGAGTGGAGTAACATCTCACAGCAAGAACGGGCAAATCTGGTGCAGTCCATGAGGAGGAGATGCACTGCAGTACTTAATGCAGCTGATGGCCACACCAGATACTGACTGTTACTTTTGATTTTGACCCCCCCTTTGTTCAGGGACACATTATTCCATTTCTGTTAGTCACATGTCTGTGGAACTTGTTCAGTTTATGTCTCAGTTGTTGTTATGGTCATACTTTTCCTTTTTTTGCTGAGTTTATACATATATATACAGTATATAGCCCATACATTTAACACCTCATATGGCTTTCTGCTGGAACCATGTGTTGCAGGCGCCAAGATCCTGAAAGTTTTATTACATTCAGTTATGTCACTAGGATAGCCTTAACTATATGTGTACAGTTATGGTGTGATGTTAGTCTCCTGGGTGTGATCAAGACTATCACCTTGGTCAGCTCTGTCCTTAATATAGACATAACACTTTGACATAGTTGATACTCAACCTGAATCTAATTATCTGCAATAATAACATCCACTGTACTGAGTAAAACAAAACAAAAATATTATTTTTTCATTTACCAGTTGCCAATGAATGAAAGTTGCCACGAGCAGTGAATTGACAGCCTGAGAATCGTCACGTCTCTAAATGATTCGACGTCCCCTACAGTAAATCAAATCAAACTTGATTTAAAGTGTATTTTAAAATCTCAACGCACTACCTATCTGAGCACTACCATTGGTCCAGCTGGTTGGCAAATCATCTGAATGTTGCATTTGGCGTTCCTCAAGGTTCTACGCTCAGACCCCTATCATTTGTTTTGTATAGTGTATGCAGTGCAGTGGCATGCTAAAACCTCTTATGTCTATGTGATATGACACCCCCTTCCAGACTCTCATGGGTGTGGTGTTCAGGGGGATGGGAATTAAAAAACAGACTGCAAAAAAAAACATTTGTTTCGATGGAAAATGATGTGTTCTATTCTATTCAGTACCATGCTGAGACCATCAAGAACGTCCGTGAGGCCACCGAGAGCTTTGGATCTGGAACCATCGAGTACAGACCAGTGGCCATCGCTCTGGACACCAAGGGACCCGAAATCAGGACCGGACTCATCAAGGGCGTGAGTAGTCATTCACCGTGAAGTACTGTAAATCTTTATGAAAAGCCAAACGTCAAGTCCAACTTCATCACAATACATTTTACAGACAAATCAAAACAGAGACAAGCAGGTACATTTCTTGACTGTAGTACCATACCGGCTATCATGTAGGCCTACCGCTTGATTTGGTCAAGAGGAAGGCATTGGCCAAGCTAGCAGCATTGTAACGGAAATAAATACAACCACAAGCAATGATATCATAAAGCATAAAGTACTGTGGTACTGTAAAACACTATTGGCATCAGAATATATGGATGATCATGAGCCCTGTCCTTCCCCATAGAGATAGACAGTACACAATACTATAGTAATAGTTGTGTAATTATATGATTCTTCCCCTGTACAGAGCGGCGAAGCTGAGGTTGAGCTGAAGAAGGGAGGACACATCAAGCTGACCCTGGACGACAAGTACAAGGATAACTGCGATGAGAAGCACCTGTGGCTGGACTACAAGAACATCACCAAGATCCTGAAGGTCGGAGCTCACGTCTACATTGACGATGGCCTCATGTCCCTGAAGGTGAAGGAAGTCGGTGAGTATCCTAGCAACATCCTACTGTAGCAAGCAGCGTTAACACTGTCAATGTTACAGGAAGTAGCTACACACCAAAGTAAAGTGCGTTTCCTTCTGCTTTGCCTGTTGAAACGTGTCACTGTACCGTTGTTCTGGCCGTGGCATTGTGACTGACACACATTACGGTCCCCAGGCGCTGACTTCCTGGACTGTGAGATTGAGAACGGTGGTACTCTGGGCTCCAAGAAGGGTGTGAACCTGCCCGGTGCTGCTGTGGACCTGCCCGCCGTCTCCGAGAAGGACATCCAGGATCTGCAGTTCGGTGTGGAGCAGGGAGTGGACATGGTCTTCGCCTCCTTCATCCGTAAGGCAGCCGACGTGCACGCTGTCAGGAAGGTGCTGGGAGAGAAGGGCAAGAACATCAAGATCATCTCCAAGCTGGAGAACCACGAGGGCGTCCGCAGGTGTGTGTGTGAGAGTGTGAGAGTGTGAGTGTGTGAGATACAGAGAAAGCAATTTGAGAGAGGCCTCGCTGACTACACGATAGCATTTGTATTCTCAGTACCTTCAAAAGTAAGAAATCTCCACTTGAAAAATCCTACTGTCTTGAGCATCAGTTTAGTCGCTTGGAAATATAGATACCCAATGCTGGATAATATTGACTTTATATAACTATCTGTCTGTCTATGTGTAGATTCGATGAGATCCTGGAGGCTAGCGATGGCATCATGGTTGCCCGTGGTGACCTGGGTATTGAGATCCCCACAGAGAAGGTGTTCATCGCCCAGAAGATGATGACCGGACGCTGCAACAGGATCGGCAAGCCCATCACCTGCGCCACACAGGTCCGACATGTTGCCCGCAGATTAGACCCCCTTATACATGACTAGACCCCCTTATACGTGACTAGACCCCCTTATACGTGACTAGACCCCCTTATACGTGACTAGACCCCCTTATACGTGACTAGACCCCCTTATACATGACTAGACCCCCTTATACATGACTAGACCCCCTTATACGTGACTAGACCCCCTTATACATGACTAGACCCCCTTATACATGACTAGACCCCCTCATACATGACTAGACCCCCTCATACATGACTAGACCCCCTCATACATGCTTCATTTCCATCCCTGTCTGCAAAGCACACCCAAAGCAGGGTCTTATAACCTGGTAAGACTCAAATACACTGAATTCAATGGCAGGTAATACCAGGGTTCCTAGTCCAGAGTATTTGAGGTTTAAGAGGAGCCGTCAAGCCTTTGAGGAAACCTTTGAGGAAAGGGCAGAAGATAATGCTCAATAGGCCACTCTCTATAAATGAATCAATGTAAATGATATATCCTGTCGTTGATTGGGTTTTAAGTGATATGTCTTGTCGTTGATTGGTGCCTAATGATCTCTCCTCTCTCCTGGTTGGTCCAGATGCTGGAGAGCATGATCAAGAAGCCCCGCCCCACCCGCGCTGAGGGTTCCGACGTCGCCAACGCCGTTCTGGACGGTAACGACTGCATCATGCTGAGTGGTGAGACCGCCAAGGGAGACTACCCGCTGGAGGCTGTCCGCACACAGCACAAGGTGAGAGACTGAGAGCAGAGCGCCCCCTATAGGTCTTGCCTTGGCCCCTCGCACAAGCACAACATCCACAATGTTCACTATAGCGGTCCCTAGAGTCACTTTATTCAAAGTTCATGAGTGGTCAATGTGACCAGTCTAGCTACAGAGAGTCATATCTGAATGTCTCATAAGCCAGGTTTCCATCCAATTGGCGACAGATTTTCAATGCGAATATTCTAAGATCTTGTTGCAGATGACAGGCTGCAGGACCTAGTGTACATAAAAACACATCAAGAAGATCATCAAGATCATCCCCTTGCTCGTTCACCACCCTGTGAAGTTCATCACCATTTATTTCATCTGTAGCCTAATAAACTGCACGGTTTCCTGACGAATTCGTAGTGGGAGGACCACACGTCGTCACGTGACTCCCAAGTTTACTTCGATAGGATGGTTATTATATCAATATTTGTGCGTAATTCATTTTACAGACACAAAAAAGATCCCACTTTTTGTTTTTGTAGACTTTTAGAAAGTTCACCGAAAAATGTTCTGTTTCCATCAGGCCTGTCATGTGCTTTACTCTGGAAACCTGGTTATAGACGCAATCATCCCAGCAAGCAGCAACATAGGGTCAACGTTGAGACAACATTGTGGTGTTGGTTGTGTGTTTTCTGGGATGCCTCAGGGGAATTAACATGAAGTAGCTGTAATATAATATAACAGCAATATATAACTTTGTGTGTTTTTGGTTTGTGATCTACGTACTAACGGCTGACCATGTTACTGGCTTTATGTGCTCCTACCTCTCCTCCCCCCCATCTCTCTGTTCTCTCTCCTCCCCCCCATCCCTCTGTTCTATCACTGCATCTGTTTTTTGCATAATTTTGCATTGGATGGGGTCATCAGATTGCACAATCAGCATGTGTCTGAGGACCTGCACCACAACACCCCAGGTATGCAGACCACAGTGATTCTATATTTACTAGAGGACTAGAGGAGAGTACCTCTCTTATGTCCCCCTTGCCCCTTCAGAGAAACTAGTATGTGTCTCGTTTAGCTTTTGACTGTTGCTGTATGAATCTGTATGATTGTTGCTGTATGACTGTTGCTGTATGAATCTGTATGACTGTTGCTGTATGAGTCTGTATGACTGTCGCTGTATGACTGTTGCTGTATGAATCTATATGACTGTTGCTGTATGACTGTTGCTGTATGAATCTGTATGACTGTTGCTGTATGACTGTTGTTGTATGAATCTATATGACTGTTGTTGTATGACTGTTGCTGTATGAATCTGTCAAGATTGAAGTTGTTCATTCTCAGGACTTTACATTAGTGGTGTACCAAACCCCTAGCTTAGGAAAAAGGCAGATCCATGAACAGTGTGTCAATCTGGTCTAAATCTGTACCGATGCATGCTTTCTGTTCATTACTGTAGTTGAATGGCAGGAATCTGACACCTGTCCTCCCTCTCCCTCTCTCTCTTGCCCCCCTCCCCCCTCCAGATTGCTCGTGAGGCCGAGGCCGCCATGTACCACAGGCAGATGTTCGAGGAAATCCGTCGTACCTCCCACCTGACCCGTGACCCCACCGAGTCCGTTGCCATCGGCGCCGTCGAGGCATCCTTCAAGTGCTGCGCCAGCGCCATCATCGTGCTCACCAAGTCTGGCAGGTACGAACCAATCAGAGAGCCACACAGCAAAACCCTCTGTACTTCTCAAACCTACTCCTGAGGGGGAAGGACAGACATGTACATGACGTTATGGACACCTTCTCTATGCCCAGTCAAATACCCTGTTCACACTACTGAGCTGAACCAAGCCGAGCCGAGCTGAGCTGTGCTGTGCTAGTCTGGTTACGCTTTGGAGATTTTTGTTGATTTCTTTTATCTGAGAACGCAAGAGAGGGAACATGTTCCGTTCTGTACTCATTTTCAGTTCCTATTCACAAGAACCACAAGCTATTGCAACACAGTCCTTCTCTGCCACTGTGCACAGTGTCGTCGTTAGTGTGTCACCATAACTCTCCCATCATCCTTCCCTCTCGCCCCAGCCCTGTAGCAGAGACCCAGAACTCTCCCTCTCGCCCCATCCCTGTATCAGAGACCCAGAACTCTCCCTAAAACCCCAGCCCTGTATCAGAGACCCAGAACTCTCCCTCTCGCCCCATCCCTGTATCAGAGACCCAGAACTCTCCCTCTCGCCCCAGCCCTGTATCAGAGACCCAGAACTCTCCCTAAAACCCCAGCCCTGTAGCAGAGACCCAGAACTCTCCCATCATCTTTCCCTCTCACCCCAGCCCAATTCATAGATGCTAACCACCTTTAGCGCCTATTTTGATGAAAGTGTTTTCTTCCTTGGGGACTTTTGTTAAGAGCCCCTACGCTCGCTCTAAACGTGAACACGCATCGTTTGTGGTATTGGTTTTGGCAACATAAGGAACGTATCTTTCATATCAGCAAGAAAGCAAAAGGTTAAATTACTACAGACCTTTATAGGGTTACAGACGGAAGAGAAAGGTGACCACCTGTGCTAATTAGCTATCTAGCATGCTCCGAACACCCGTGTGTAACGGAAGAAGGTCGCCAGAAGTGTGTTGTCACTGAAAAATACTGTTGGCTGCAACTGTGGTAAAGCCGGTTAAAACTGTGTACAGTAAGTGTATATTTAGCATTTGTGAAATTATTTTGATGTGATATGAAAGTAAAGGGGTTTTATGTTTTGGCTTCCACAGCCAGTCTACCTCTGAAAATAACATAAGGTCCCTGAACCTTAAGGAGTAACGGTAGGCTCGCCTGCATTCCTTAAGAGTACATTCTTAGGTTAGTGTGTCACCAGAACTCTCCCATCCCTCCCTCTGACCTCAGCCCTAAAGCAGAGACCCATGACTTGTATTAGGGGAGCCAACTTTCCCAGCAGCACACGATCTGGGATCCTCTAGTTCCCAACCTTTACAGTCCTGAACCCTGACATTTAGGAAGTTAAATATAACTCTCCACTACTCTCCTCTCCTGTCACTCACTCCTCTCCACTCCTCTCTACTCCAATCCACTCCTCTCCACTGCTCTCCTGTCCCCCACTCCCCTCCTCCAGCTCTCCCACTCCCCTCCTCCAGCTCTCCCACTCCCCTCCTCCAGCTCTCTCCCACTCCCCTCCTCCAGCTCTCCCACTCCCCTCTTCCAGCTCTCCCACTCCCCTCCTCCAGCTCTCCCACTCCCCTCCTCCAGCTCTCCCACTCCCCTCCTCCAGCTCTCCCACTCCCCTCCTCCAGCTCTCCCACTCCCCTCCTCCAGCTCTCCCTCTCCCACTCCACTCCTCTCCCACTCCTCCCCTCTCCTGTCCCTCACTCCTTTCCTCTCCTGTCCCTCACTGCTCTCCCACTCCTCTCCACTCCACTCCCTTTCCACTTCGCTCCACTCCACCTCCACTTCACTCCACTCCTCTCTCTACTACTCTCCACTCTACTCCCTCTCCACTCCACTCCCTTTCAACTCCTCTCCTTCTCCTCTCCTCTCCCACTCCACTCTTCTCCTCTCTAGTCCTTTCCTACTCCACTCCTTTCCCTCGCCTCTCCCTCTCCTCCCCTCTCCCTCTCCCACTCCACTCCACTCCTCTCCCTCACTCCTTTCCTACTCCATTCAAAGTTCAGATTCACCCCGCGCCACTATACATTATTGACCAGAGGAGGCTGGTGGTAGGATCTATAGGAGGATGGGCTCATGGTAATGGCTGGAATGGAATACATGGAACATGGTTTCCATATGTTTGATGTGTGTTCCATTTATTCCAGTCCAGCCATAACAATGAACCTGTCCTCCTATAGCTGTTCCCATCAGCCTCCTCTGGTATGGACTGTCCAGTAGTCAGCTGTGTACTAAATGTGACAACATTTTGATAGAATTCTGTCGACCTACAGTACTGCTTTCAGGAGTTTGGATCTAGGATTAATACAGTGTTACATTAGATACAGTATAATTATTATAATCATTATTATAATATAATAAGAGTGTCTTCCCCTTTATAGAAGTATTTTAATGTGCTACATAATAATTACGGTTTTAAGTTTCACATAGCGATATACGTTTTTATTCCACACCGTAACCTGCTGTTCCTTCCTGTGTCTGGTTCTAGGTCCGCCCACCTGCTGTCCAGGTACAGGCCCCGTGCCCCCATCATCGCTGTGACCCGCTGCGGTCAGACTGCCCGCCAGGCTCATCTGTACCGCGGTATCTACCCCGTGCTGTACACCAAGCCTGCCAACGATGTCTGGGCCGAGGATGTCGACCTCCGCGTCAACTTCGCCTTAGAGATCGGTGAGTAATGACATCACATTTCAGTTCTAATGTTTAAATAGTAATACTGAACATTATTTGTAGAGCACGTTTCGTACAGAAAGACCACAACTCAAATTGCGGTGTATATGATAAGATTTTAGAGTTCCCTAAAAAGTACATTACCGTATGATTTAGCAAATATCACTCATGCATTTTCTATGGTTGAAGACATCCTTATAGCACTGGAGCCCCACCAAAGACCAGCCATTAACACCCCTCTCTCCCCTCTCCCCTCCAGGCAAGCACCGTCAGTTCTTCAAGTCTGGAGATGTTATCATTGTTGTGACCGGATGGCGTCCAGGCTCTGGGTACACCAACACCATGCGCGTTGTGCTTGTTCCTTGAACTAACTCAAAAGGTCATTACTCCTCCCCCTTACCCTTCTCCTGTTCCTATAACTCCTCCCCCTTACACTTCTCCTGTTCCTAGAACTCCTCCCCCTTACCCTTCTCCTGTTCCTAGAACTCCTCCCCCTTACCCTTCTCCTGTTCCGATAACTCCTCCCACTTACCACTCTCCTGTTCCTATAACCCCTCCCCCTAGCAGAAGACATCTATTTGTCTAGACTCCACCTTTTAACCAAGACGACAAGCTAAAATACTAATAGAACTCGACACCAACACCAGGCCACTTCTTCAAAGGACTTTTTGGGTGGTTCCATTCATACACAGACAGTCACTTTCCAACACTCCTTTAATTCCTATGTTATTGTTACATAGGTGTGTCATCTACGGTATCTACTATGTCCAAGTCATCCTTCAAGAGGTTACACACCCTACTGAAAGCACACACACACACACACACACACACCTGCCTGACTGAGTTTGCATGCTGAACAATAGGAAGTGCAGGTTGTTCTATGTGTCCGTTGTACTGGCATCACACGTCTCCATGTCAGAGCCACTCGGTGCCAGTTGCTTCATGGTTACAGTACGTTGATGTGGATTAGGAATATAATGGGGCTCCTGCTCTACGTGGGTCTTCTCCACACCTGGTAGACAGGTAAGACTCCACTGACATGTTCAAGTTAAAGGTACGGTGGTGTTCATGTTGTTGCTGATCTGGAGTGCTAAGGGATCTGGCATGACTGGGTTTCCATCCATCCATTAAAAAGATGAACACCTGACTCTCTCTGCTGTTGTGTGTTTTTTTTTCTCCCCCTCTTTTAAAGATACACTATGGAAGTTGAGTTGCTTTTGTTTACCTCAGATGTTGGTGTGGTGACTGTATGGTTCATTTAACACATAATATAATGACATTTCTTATGCCAATATCGAACCATACCTTTTTAGTTTTCCTTCTTTTTAAACCATCTGGGGTGTGGCTTCTGAGCTTTGGATTCCACCGCTGCCTCCATGTGCCAATAGACTACATGTGTGTTATTGTCATAGAAACACAGACATAAAGTCAGGGGGAACTGAGTATGTTTCAGTCAGTAACAGTGCATTCATTTTAAGTCAGAAAATGTCTGTTTCCTGTGCACACCATGTGCAATAAAAGGGTACATTATGTAAATGAGGGATATGCAACTTCTGTTTTGAAATAATGAGTGATATAAGGAATCTTTGAAGCTTTAGATTTCCCACGCAACATTTTATCCTTTTTCGACAACCAAAGATGGGCAACGAAAATGAATTTATCCCAGTTATGAGGAATTATGAAGCGACTTTAGAACCCTCCGGTGGTATTGTGTTTTTTAGGCTTTATTTCAGCAACTATGATATAATCATTTACATAAGAGATGACATCCACTTAGTGGTCTCAGTTGAAAGTGTTCCCCTAATTCTGGAGCAAAACACCAAAGTGTATCTGATCCTTACTCTTTGTACACCTCTGGGGTGCGTTCAGTTCCATTCAACGTTTGTATTGAACGACACGTTTCCCCTAAACGTTCTTCAGTGTTCTTGAACATACTTTGAGGTATGTTTTCTCCGTTTGGTGGGAGCCCGGGGTGTGGCTTGAAGCAATGAGTGACGTACTTCACTTTGAAACCACAACCCAATCCCTCCCCGTTTTTTCAAATGGTCGTGCAGAACAGCATAGTTTCCGTTTAATTTAATGTTTGCGCACCGTTTTCTCGTACTGAACGCAGCCCAGGTCAGGGAGGCAGGTCAGTGGTGTAGTGGTGCCTGGAGAAGTGGGTATACTCTAATTTTACCATAAATTCTATGAGAAACAGTGACATACAGTGAGCGAAAAAAGTATTTGATCCCCTGCTGATTTTGTACATTTGCCCACTGACAAAGAAATGATCAGTCTATAATTTTAATGGTAGGTTTATTTGAACAGTGAGAGACAGAATAACAACAACAAAATCCAGAAAAACGCATGTCAAAAATGTTATAAATTGATTTGCATTTTAATGAGGGAAATAAGTATTTGACCCCCTCTCAATCAGAAAGATTTCTGGCTCCCAGGTGTCTTTTATACAGGTAACGAGCTGAGATTAGGAGCACACTCTTAAAGGGAGTGCTCCTAATCTCAGTTTGTTACCTGTATAAAAGACACCTGTCCACAGAAGCAATCAATCAATCAGATTCCAAACTCTCCACCATGGCCAAGACCAAAGAGCTCTCCAAGGATGTCAGGGACAAGATTGTAGACTTACACAAGGCTGGAATCGGCTACAAGACCATCGCCAAGCAGCTTGGTGAGAAGGTGACAACAGTTGGTGCGATTATTCGCAAATGGAAGAAACACAAAATAACTGTCAATCTCCCTCAGCCTGGGGCTCCATGCAAGATCTCACCTCGTGGAGTTGCAATGATCATGAGAACGGTGAGGAATCAGCCCAGAACTACACAGGAGGATCTTGTCAATGATTTCAAGGCAGCTGGGACCATAGTCACCAAGAAAACAATTGGTAACACACTACGCCGTGAAGGACTGAAATCCTGCAGCGCCCGCAAGGTCAAGAAAGCAGATATACAAGTTTGCCAATGAACATCTGAATGATTCCGAGGAGAACTGGATGAAAGTGTTGTGGTCAGATGAGACCAAAATGGAGCTCATTGGCATCAACTCAACTCGCCGTGTTTGGAGGAGGAGGAATGCTGCCTACGACCCCAAGAACACCATCCCCACCTTCAAACATGGAGGTGGAAACATTATGCTTTGGGGGTGTTTTTCTGCTAAGGGGACAGGACAACTTCACCGCATCAAAGGGACGATGGACGGGACCATGTACCGTCAAATCTTGGGTGAGAACCTCCTTCCCTCAGCCAGGGCATTGAAAATGGTTGTGGATGGGTATTCCAGCATGGCAATGACCCAAAACACACGGCCAAGGCAACAAAGGAGTGGCTCAAGAAGAAGCACATTAAGGTCCTGGAGTGGCCTAGCCAGTCTCCAGACCTTAATCCCATAGATAATCTGTGGAGGGAGCTGAAGGTTTGAGTTGCCAAACATCAGCCTCGAAACCTTAATGACTTGGAGAAGATCTGCAAAGAGGAGTGGGACAAAATCCCTCCTGAGATGTGTGCAAACCTGGTGGCCAACTACAAGAAACGTCTGACCTCTGTGATTGCCAACAAGGGTTTTGCCACGAAGTACTAAGTCATTTTTTGCAGAGGGATCAAATACTTATTTCCCTCATTAAAATGCAAATCAATTTATAAAATTCTTGACATGCGTTTTTTTCTGGATTTCTTTGTTGTTATTCTGTCTCTTATAGTTATAATTATAATTATTATAGCCTGATAATTTCTTTGTCAGTGGGCAAACGTACAAAATCAGCAGGGGATCAAAAACTCACTGTACACCAGTGGCGTGTATTCATGGATGCCAAGGGAAGCTAGGCTTCCCCAAAAAGTGGACCAAGAAAAAAAACATAAAATAATTTACCTTCCGTCTCTTTGTGTTTCATAATTTTCTTTCAATTCACAAGAGGCTGAATGTGTCTCACCGGAGAAAGCATCCGAGCGAGTGAAACGGCACCCATCTGTCTCTGTATGTGTAAGCCATCTATCTGATGCTGTCTGGTCCAAAAGAGTATCACATTGTTGCCGCCCGTAGCTTTGAATGCAAGGGAAGGCAGGGAGCATTTGGCCTCCCTTTATCAAAAATAAATAACATATAATGGCCAATCAGCATTGGGCTAAACTGAGTGACCTCAACTGTGAATGGTCCTGGCGCACCAAAAACAAAAGTGTCAAGGGGAAGCCAGTTTGGATTTGGCATCACTCCTATCAAATCGCATCGAGAGCATACGTCATTGACAGAAACAACTTGAATTGTTGCATCTCGTTGTGTTGTTGTCCTCCGGTGGCTACCTAGCTAGCTAAAATAGGCCCTTTCCTTAGCCAATGATGAAGATAGGGATTTGGACTTGTGGTTTCACTTAATTCTCCATAGTGGCTAATGATTATAACGGTGATTATCCAACCATTAATTCATACATTGTTGTGCCCCCTGGCCTGAGAGGATGGAAGTTAAATATGTAGCTAGATGTAGAAGGCTAATGTTAACTAGCTAACTTTGCCCATGAATGGAAGTTAGAGTAGCGATCCATGAAACAGTTAACATGTGCCATGCGCATTTTCGAACAGATTCGCGCATAGGCCTACCGCCTTGTGCACATTGCAGGTTTTCAAACGTGAATAAATAATAAGCCATTTAGCAGACGCTTTTATCCAAAGCGACTTACAGTCATGTGTGCATACATTTTTACGTATGGGTGGTCCCGGGGATCGAACCCACTACCCTGGCGTTACAAAGCACCATGCTCTACCAATTGAGCTACAGAGGACCATCATCAACATCTTAAGCTAAGCATTCTGATCTGTTCCATCACCCATATGAATTGATATGTCATATACATCCACTACACTACTTTGATACACATCATGGGGATTATGAAGTGAGCATTTGCAATGCCCACAAAAAGAAAGTGGATATATGGCGTATAACTGCATATGCCCCCCACTACACAACTGGGGAAGGTATACCAGGTAATTCAGCCATGTGTAGTTGTAGTCACGCCCTGGACCAGAGCTAAGTCATGTGCTACAAAATGTAGAACAAGCACAAGTATATATTCTACTCAATATTGCTTGAATAAATGTCAAATGTTTTACTTCCTGTCTTTCATAGGCAATAATAACAATCTAACATCTTACAGAGAAGTCTCACACCATCTAGTGGTTCTTTGCAGAAGTACCAGAGCGGCGTTCAAACCATCCAGCTGAAGGCATTTAGTTTATCCATCAAAGCCACAGAGAAACACACCCATTAACAAGTGTGTACTTTAGCGTGGCACGGATACATGACCTTGACAATCTTACGGTATGTTCTAAACCGGGGCGGCAGGTAGCTTAGTGGTTAAGAGCGTTGTGCCAGTAACCGTAAAGGTCGCTGGTTCTAATCCCCAGAGCCGACTAGGTAAAAAAT